TATAATTCATTGTATTTAACCCTCTGACAGATTCCTCTGAAATCTCAGATGAGGATTGGAAAGGCTCCAGTGTCTCCAAGTGTCGTTTAAAATGACACTGTTCTGTGCTCTGCAGGCTGAGAGATTGTTTTGATTGTTAAAATAGTTTCTAATTTATGTTTTTAAAAAGCTTCAGGAGCCAGCTGTTCCCTGCTCTCTCAGAGGCCATTGAGTTAAAACAAGGTAGAGTGATTTGTCTTGCCTCAATTTAGCTGTAATGAGTATTAAGTGGTTTATCTATATGGAGGAAAGTTACTCAGCTAGATTACATCCAAGTTGAATTACACCCCGTTCCAGATGGAGTATATTTTTTAAGACAGTAAATCTTGAGGAGGCTGGATAATAACAGTAACGCTCCTTCCTGGGCTGGAATGTGACTCTTCTACCTCTCGTGGAGATAATGTGCAGAGCTACATCCAATTAGTTTTTCAAAGGCTTTGTAAAGAAATGGGGCTTCAGGTTTTACGGCTCTGCGAATATCTAGCTTGAAGCATTTACATTGTACAAGTAAGCGATGGCTGATGGTGATTATGGTTTTCATCTGGTTTGCTGTTGCGGGTAGCAGCCTGGCAGGGCACGACACCGTCTCTCTCCCCAACCTCCTCTTCTGCACCAAGTGTGATGGCTGTGACAGGGAGGGTGTTGGGTGGGAGGTGAGGTGTTTTGATGGGAAATTCCTTCCTTCTGGTGTCATCTGGTCCACTAAGGCACCCACTGCTCATGCACCTGGTGCTTGTGGCCGTGAGGAGTAACTGGAGGAGGACGTTGGTCCCACTGGCATCCCAAGCGGCACCAAGTGCCAGAGCATTCTCCCAAAAACCTTATCCTTGACCGTGTGGCCTTGACCACCATCCTTGTCTGCTTCCCTGATACTGTACCTCCCCTTCACTGTGCCACACTTCTACAGAGCCAAGCGGCGTGGCTGTCCAGCCAGGGTAGGACGAAGTGTCAGGTCACTGGTGAGGCACCAGCAGGCGTGGGTGGACTCGAAGTTGGTGCCATGAGGTGGTGGCCCAGGCAGGTGTACTGGGGGTACACCCCAGCACCCAGGTCTGGGAGCCGCTCGTTCCACTGAGGAGAAGGCATTTGGGCTGATGGAGGTGGAACATTCCTCACAACTGGCAGCAGGCTTTGACAAGGCGATGGGGACCGTTCGTTTAATTTCTAATGAAGGGGATGAGGGGGTCCAAGCTGTCAGTGATCCAGCTCTACCACCTCAGTGGGTGAGGCTGTCCTCACCCCATGGCTCTGGGGGAGGCAGGGGAGGAGGGAAACTCACTGATAAGGGGAAGGTCAGAGGCAGAAAAATGTTGGGAATGTGTTTCTTGATCTAACGTGGGAGAGACCCAGCCTGGGGTTTTGCTGCTCAGCCCGGCAGTGTTACTGCCTGCTGTCGTGAGAGTTATGGGATTTTTTAAACTGAGATCAAGATGCAGATGGCTCAGCTGGCACCTACCTCAACACAGGCAGGTCCAGCAGATGGAGACGGTTCATCTTTGAGGGCACAGTGAGGATGGTGACAGCTCTGAGCACTGTTTTTCAGCCTTTGCCTGAGATGGAGCATCTTCTGCTCACAAAACAGCTCATTTGCTTTTTTTCTTCTTTTTTCCATATATTTTATGTTGCTGAGGTCAGATTTTGGACATGGTTTGAACGGTGGTGTTTGAAGAATTCTAGCAAATCTCAGAACTACCTTTCAAGACTGGAGGTAGCTGTGGTGTGCATTGGCTCCTGGGGATGTAGGGGTTGCCTTCCCAAGGAGTACCCTTTTTTTGCAAGGGATATGAAACCAATGAGGAAATAGTTCTCTCCCCATTTCCTTTTCTTTGGCAGCCATGCTCAAGTTTTTCCATCAACGAACCAGTCCTTGTAGTATCCAGGGCCTGAACACAACAGCTTCTGTGTCACCATTCAACCACTTAACCTTAATTTCCTGTAGCTGTTAGCAGTGCTGGAATCTGCCACAAACACATGTTGAAGAGGTTGCTCATGAGGTTCAGGCTGTCAGCCTCCACCTTGGGTAACTTCCCACTGTGCTTGAACGCAGAGCTGCTGGAGAGGACCTCCTGCAGTTTCTCTGCCCTTTGTGGGCGCAGGACTGGGAAAAAGGGCTCGTCTGCATCAGAAATAGTTCCCATAAGCTTTTTTTTTTGGTTGGTGTTCTTTGCACATGACGTGGTGTGGTGGTCCACAATATAAACACTTAGTGGTGATAAGAGAGTACAAAGGTGAGGGGGGGCACTGTGTATAGCAGGCTCCCTGCTGCTTGGGAAACAGGCTTGGACTGCTAACAGGCAACAGGCTTAGTCAGTAACTGTGGTTCTTGTGGAGCCTGTGTCTGTTACTGGCATTACATCGAGATCTGCTTTAGCATTATCTGGCATTTTTACACTTGTTTATGCAAGTGTTGCTGTCTGTGCAATTTATGTATGCAGGGACTGTGCTTGGTCCAGAGGCATATCTCTGATTCCCAGGCAGGTGTGGATTGAGCCTCTCCTTTGACGCCGCTTTGAATCCTTCCTTGAAGCTGCTTTGAATGCCCCGATAACTGAGATAAAAATCAGGACCTGATGTATCAGGATCACTGTATTCATTGTGTAGAAGCACTCAGCTCTGCTGCTGCCCTGGCAGCATGAGGCTACCAGTGAAGCTGGAGGGCAGGCGGGGAAGGACACCTTATCTGACCAGATCTACCTGTGGAGGCTGTTGTATCCAGCACAGGAGTGGAAATGGTGGAGTCTCTGGTTGTCTTCAGACAGAGCTGGAGACTGTTCTGAGAACTGTTTAGCCAAATGGGTATTACTGGACTGAATTTAGGGGTAAGTTAAGAAAGTGTGGTGGTCTGGGGCACAGAGGGAGGTCAGACCAAAGGGTCCGTGGTCCTCCTGGCTTTGTATTTAAGAATCTCAAACTCCCCTCTTACCCTGCTGGAGGACAGGTTCATTACTAATTCAGGAAGTTGTTCAAGCTGATGCTGAAATCTTGTTGACTTAAGCACCGATCTTCTGCAGCATTATACTCGCTACCTTTTGATATGCATGACTAAATTCATGACGCTGTTGGCACAAGGCCTTTGCGGGGAAGGTGCTATGGACTGATCCTGTAACCTACTTGGTTTGCCCTCTTTTCCTCTGACCTGGAGACTCCTCCCACGTTGGGGTGGTTGTTGGGCAGAGAGTTTGTGAACCCTGCAGCTGAAGGTGATATTGCTGTGAACCTCCCCACCACTTAAACAGTTCACTGAACTTACATAGCTTCCTACGGTGTCGTCTTAACCTTTTTCCTGAGGACTTGTTTGGATTTCCCAGGTTGGGACAAAGCACAATCCAAACAAAAAAGTGAGCATGTTTCCTCTGAGAGTGTTTGTGCTTTAGATGGGCACTTGACTCCGATCCGTCCCGCTGTTCCTTTATGTGCGGTTTGGCACTTGTCTATGGCAACACTTTTTCAAGCATATTCCAATTTTTCTCTTGAATGGTCAAAGCACTCTCAGTGATTAGCTGTAGCTTGCATGCTAGCTCTTCTGCAAAACTGCCCCCAGAGTGGCCAAGAAACGGCATTTGGGCTTGTGCCGAGTGCATTCGGCAGCTACAGGCAAAGGCAAAGATAAGCTGTTTAGCGCGGAGCCAGCCTAAACCTTACACGTGTGCATGGGCGTGTGTTTGTGTGCGCAGAGATGCAGCCAGTGGTGCCTGCTAACCATCATGGGGCTGATCCTGAAAGGCGCTGGCAATCGGCAATGATGTGCACTGCCTGGCATCGGTGCGGTTGCGTTAATGCCCGGTTCCTCACCGATTCACGCTCAGTGGGAGGTCCAGTGGTTGAACAGTGGCTTTTGCAGTCATACCATAATAAATGAAGTGAAGTAAAATATAATTCCATTCTGCAGAGCCCTTTTAGCAGTGTGGAAAATGTTTGGATTTTTTCATCTGCTTAAGCTGCAAAACTCTTTTCCTCCTGCTGTAACAACTCACAGCCTCTGCTACCAAAATTACAAGCGGAGGAGAAATTTAGCAAACATCCAGATGGATGGAAGGAACTATTGCAAACTGCTAAGCTATAATGAAAAAGGAGAAAAGGTTTCCCCAGGTTCCTTTATTTTCTTCCTTGCGAAGTTTGCAAATGTGTTGCTTCAAAGCACATTTCAAAACAAAAACCAGATGTTTTGGAGAGCAGTAAGCCACCCACAGAGCTGTCTGGCAAGTTATCTTCTACACCAAGTCACCCTATCTGGTGTTGCTGTCTTACTGCAATGGTAAACTGGCCGTTACATTCCTTCAGGTTGAATATTACCATTTTATGTGAGGTTGTTCTGTATTTTATTGTCCTGGTATTTTTTCTGTTTAGTGTCACGTGCTCCCACCAGACAAAACAGATGTCCGGGGTAGGCACTCGCTGTGTACGTCAGGCTGTGTGCATGCTGCAGCTCTGTGGCCTTGCTGTGTACACTTCTTCCCCTTTTACAGCACTGGCAGTTGTGGCAGTGACCTCCTTGTAGAGCTGTGCCAGCAGCTTATTTTTGTGAGTTTTTCAGTTGTTTTTGAAAGAAAAAGGCACGTGTGTGGAGGGCTTGTTTATTCAAACGTAAAAGGAAACATCTTGTTCTGTTGTTGAGTATTTTGGTGCGTTTTACATGAATGAGAATGGCTTTCAAAGCTAGGAAATTACTTTTATAAAATTATGAAACACAATATTTCAACCTCACTTTCCTTCTGTGCCCCCCCACCCCCCAACCTGGTTGCACTGATATGGATTCACAGAAGATATTGCTGTTGCTGAATCTCAGCTTTTTAGTGAGGAAAGCTTTTGTCGGAATCCCCTCCTCACCCTATACACTTGCGGTTTTATTCATTAGGTCTTTCCTAAACTCACCTTCCAGGGAGGGGGAAAACGTATTGCTGTCTGACAGTGCTTGCCTGTAACACAAGAAGCTTAAATATATTTTTTCTCTTTTCCTAAAGATTCGTCTTCCAACTATATCAGGCAACTTGAAACAAAAGTGAAACTGCTGGAGGATGACAACAAGCTTCTTTCCCAGGTAGGTTTTTTATTGCCTAATAGATATTCATGTGGCTCGGTTCTCCTGTTTCTGTATAGTTGCGTCTGACTGCCCACTTGAATGCACAAGGGATTTCGGTGGACCAGGGGAAGAGCATAATGGTCTTTTCATATCAACCCCCCACTGATAGAATTGGGTCTCCTTTTGTTAAAAAAAAAAAAAGAGAGGAAAAAAAAGAGAGGAAAAAAAAGAGAGGAAAAAAAAGAGAGGAAAAAAAAGAGAGGAAAAAAAAGAGAGGAAAAAAAAGAGAGGAAAAAAAAGAGAGGAAAAAAAAGAGAGGAAAAAAAAGAGAGGAAAAAAAAGAGAGGAAAAAAAAGAGAGGAAAAAAAAGAGAGGAAAAAAAAGAGAGGAAAAAAAAGAGAGGAAAAAAAAGAGAGGAAAAAAAAGAGAGGAAAAAAAAGAGAGGAAAAAAAAGAGAGGAAAAAAAAGAGAGGAAAAAAAAGAGAGGAAAAAAAAGAGAGGAAAAAAAAGAGAGGAAAAAAAAGAGAGGAAAAAAAAGAGAGGAAAAAAAAGAGAGGAAAAAAAAGAGAGGAAAAAAAAGAGAGGAAAAAAAAGAGAGGAAAAAAAAGAGAGGAAAAAAAAGAGAGGAAAAAAAAGAGAGGAAAAAAAAGAGAGGAAAAAAAAGAGAGGAAAAAAAAGAGAGGAAAAAAAAGAGAGGAAAAAAAAGAGAGGAAAAAAAAGAGAGGAAAAAAAAGAGAGGAAAAAAAAGAGAGGAAAAAAAAGAGAGGAAAAAAAAGAGAGGAAAAAAAAGAGAGGAAAAAAAAGAGAGGAAAAAAAAGAGAGGAAAAAAAAGAGAGGAAAAAAAAGAGAGGAAAAAAAAGAGAGGAAAAAAAAGAGAGGAAAAAAAAGAGAGGAAAAAAAAGAGAGGAAAAAAAAGAGAGGAAAAAAAAGAGAGGAAAAAAAAGAGAGGAAAAAAAAGAGAGGAAAAAAAAGAGAGGAAAAAAAAGAGAGGAAAAAAAAGAGAGGAAAAAAAAGAGAGGAAAAAAAAGAGAGGAAAAAAAAGAGAGGAAAAAAAAGAGAGGAAAAAAAAGAGAGGAAAAAAAAGAGAGGAAAAAAAAGAGAGGAAAAAAAAGAGAGGAAAAAAAAGAGAGGAAAAAAAAGAGAGGAAAAAAAAGAGAGGAAAAAAAAGAGAGGAAAAAAAAGAGAGGAAAAAAAAGAGAGGAAAAAAAAGAGAGGAAAAAAAAGAGAGGAAAAAAAAGAGAGGAAAAAAAAGAGAGGAAAAAAAAAAGAGAGGAAAAAAAAGTATACCCTCTGTTAGTGTCTGTGTGTGTTTTGGAGATGCATTAACGCCTCCCTGCAGAACACCTTGATCCACTGCTGCTCTCAGGGATGCTGCGAGGGTCTGGCGCTGCCTGTGCCCTTGCTGTAGGATTTTGTCTTGCTTGCCCATTTACATTGACTTTTATCTTGTTGAAAGAGGAGGCTGTAGTCAAAGGACAGCCTAGGGAATAGTTTTGTGCAGTGCTGGCTCCCAGCTTTTATTTGAGGTCTTGCTTAAAACCAAACAGACCTCTTTAAAACTGGCACTTTTTGCTTGCATCTGCCCTTCAAAGTCTACTCCACGTGCCACTGTGCTTTTGATCACTCCTGGTGCTTACCTATCTGTATATAGGAATGTCAAGCAGCAGGAGAAAACAGTCATTCTGTCTGGTATGTCCCCTGGATCCCCCGTAAAACACAGCACTTGGTGTAAACAGGGGCAGCTTTGCTGAAATCAGTGAAACTGTCTATTTAAACCATTGGAAGAGTTACCCTTTTTCTCTTGTTCTTTGCATCCTTTCACTGTTGGACTGTTCTACCTCCCTGGCATTTTAAAGGTTTTTTTCTATACTTTGCTTCTTACTTCAAGCATTGAGTTTCACAGTTCCAGATTCTTTCCAATTATAAGGACTGGAAGTAAAAAAACCCTCCTAATTATTATTATTATTTTTTAAATACCTTTTTGCCAGTTTATGTTGTGCTGTTCTTGCATTTCTCCAAGTCTGAAAATAGGCTGCTTCAGGATCATGTTTCTAAAACATTCCTGTTTAAAAAAAAAATTGAAAAGGTGGCTCTGTGCTTACTGGAATTTCACATTTTGACCTGACTGTGAGGTTTTTTTAAAGATTACTGCAAATTTCCAATGTACTCATTGGCATTGCTAGACATGAAACAAAACTCACAGGGCACCGAAGAGTTAAAACCCCAAAAGGGTGCTCAACTCAACAGCTACTGACTGGCTTCATGTATTAAACAATTGCTAATTTAATTTTAACTCCCTCTGTCTTTTTCCCAACCCATGAGAGAGCTGGTGGCAGTCGAAACCCCGAGAATATTTAATTGGAGCTATTGATGAGCAGATGGGCTGTGCGTGGGCAGTTGGGATATGCATTGATTCGGGGACGGGCTCGATGTGTCCTTCGCCCAGCTTCGTCCTGCCACAGCTGAGCATATTACTCCATCAGATCTGCCTTATGAGGTCAAAAAAAGTGGTTGGTAATTAGTGGGTGGTGAGTTAATAGGGGCTGAATAGCTGCCTGGGCTTACTGCATTGGGAGGGTGAGGTCCAGCTAGTCTCAGGATGTGTGAGCCTGAAGCAGCCCCCCGCATCAGCCCTTCACCTTTGTGCTGTCCTGGGTGGGAAGGCTGTGCCTTTTCCTCCACGCGCACAACTGTCCTCAGGTGTCCTCACCTTTCAGTCTGTGTTGCTACAAACGTTCGAATCCAGGAGGGAGGGAAATGATCTTAAGATAGCTCTGTGCTCTGGAGAGGGCCAGCCACATCCCCGGCAGCAGCAGCCACCGACAACAGCCTGGCTCTGGCGTTCTGTGCAGCCCCTGTGCCCTCCAAAAAGACCAGGATCCAACTTATTTCAGATTGCACTCAGGAAATACCACTTTTTTATCGTAGCACTGAGACAGCTTTCCTTAGGGCAACAGGAGAAGTGTTGAAGCTGCCGTGGTCTGGGTGAGCTCCCTGGGAATATTGAGCTGCATCACCTCCAAAGCTGTGATGCTACAAACCTAGATTTGGATTTTTTCTCTTTTAATGAGAAATATGAGGAAGATCTGTATAGGCACAAACTCACATGCATATGTACACGTTGCTCCCAGCACTTTCCTGGAAAAGTATAATCCACTTATTGTATTTTTTCTTGCTTCATCTGATTGGAAAGTGTTTAGCTGTTACCGTGCGGATCTTGGTATAAGATTCTAGTCAAAAAGGATCCTGGCAAACTTTCCTCCTGTTTTTAAAGTTGCCAGGTGATCCTGGCCGTTTGAACTCTGCAATGCCAAACTGGCTTGTCAACACCAAAGTCACATTTTAACTCGGCTTGGCTTTTTCCCTGGGAGTACTGATATTGCAATAATATTTGCAGTCTGGTGTCAAGAAGTTCTATCACCAGTGTGCTGAGGAGTGATGAAACCTGACGTCCTAAGTAACAAACAGTGCCTGTGCATTAAGGGATTAACAAATCAGTGGTGGTTATGGAAGTCTTCCTGGCGTCTCTCCAAGTGCTAAACATAGAGCTGAAATAGTGCTTCATCCAGAGAAACCCGAGAAGGCCAGTGCTGCAAATGATACTGAAAGCTTTACAGGAGGACTTCTATTACAGTGGCCGGTGACACAATGCCCCTTTGCTAGTTGGTGCATCCTGAGTGAGATTTTATTGCTTTATCTTCTTCGGCATCTGGGGTGTGAAGCTAGGCTGAGAGATGGTGTCTTTGTACCACCTTCAGGCATGGAATTAAGTTGGTGCAGGGGTCCCCAGCCTGCACTTTTTCTCCTGCTTCCCGACATCTCCTTTCTCTGTAAGCACTTCGGAAGAAAATCTTGGTGGGAGAGGCGAGAGCTCTCCGGCACGTGTCGAGGCGGCCGCTCTGCGCTGTTCGTGTAACCTACAGCGCAGGCGTGCTGGGATTCACACTTCTTCTGGTGACTCATTTGAACAGATTAATGGAGAGAGCTTTTCCTCCCCTTGGGAGATCAAGAAGTACCATCTCACGAGCCACACTTTGCAGTGGGAGGAAAGTAAATGGAGAAGTGGATGTTATTTATGATAGCCGTATATGGATTTTTTTTGTTTTGACTTCTTTTGCTTTCTAGGGAAGGAGATGTGTATTTTCAGTTGGGAAGTGAGCTGCTTCTGACATTGCTAACCCATCAGTAATCATTGCTCTTCCTATTCTCCTTTCTCTGAGGAAAAACAACTCCAGTTTCATACCTTTCTTTGACTTGGGTTTACACTGTAATGTTTTGCTGGCATGGCCGTGTTAACTAGAAAGTCATGCTCTTGGATGGCATTGCTGTGCTGGCAAAATCCTGGCAGCAATTCTGACAACACACAGCTTTTGTTGCCCTGGTTTATATTGGTTGGGGAGATGCTGTAGCGAATGCCACTACCAGAAAAGGGCTCTTGGTGCCTGCTCACCGGTGCTGGTAGGCATCTGTGGTGTAACCACAGTGGCAAAGACCCCACAGAGCAGGTGGAGACCTCAGTGTCCTGGGGTTGACGTCAGCCTTTCTTATAAGTGTAGCTGGTTTCTGGAAGTTTTAGTCGAGGTGTAAAGAAGATGAACGTAAGCTCTGAGGAATGTTGGGTGTTGGCTTTGGAGAGCTTCACAGCCATCACTTTTATAGTCTCAAATTCTCCAGGGAAGAAGTGCACTAAGTTCTGCTGTGTGCATGCAATTAATCTATGCAACATCATGTGGGAGAAGTCCTGTTTTTCCTCTCTGTCATTGTGGAGAGTGCCCATTACTAAGATAAAACCCCTGAGACGGGAGACCATATTTGCTTTCTGTTCCTCTGAGCTGAAAGTGTCCAAGCAGAAAATAGACCCCTTAAGCCACCTTACACTGCCCTTTAAACTAAAAATGAATTTGTAATTACACCCTTTCCCCTCAAGATTAGAGAAACCCCGTGTTTATGAGCTTCGGGAGCTCCAGAGGTCAATTCTGGTTAGTTTTATAATGAATGCATACATTTTAGAGATAATA